CTATAAATCCCAGGTATTCCTAGAGCGTTGTCACCTGGCATCTTTTTATATCTAAAGCAGGATGATGTTTTGTAACTTTAACTTTTTATATCTAAAGACAACATCGGAGATTCTATTAGATACCTAGGATTAAGTCACTGAATTACTTTAACTATGAATGGCTTTTTTGGCATTCAAATGGAAATGATCTCTGTAGTTTCTTAATTTTTTTTTCACTTAGTATAGTGAATTATTTTTTACACTTTTGCTCTCTTTTACCCCTTGCCGAATTGTGTTCTTGCAAATAACATTTCAATTACTTTGTCTTCCTTTTCCTGTGGACAAGGAAGCAGTCCGGCAGGGGCCTGTGTCTCAGGACTAGAATCCACGTCTTCTCAGTTGGAGTTTAGGGCTAATTTCTCCAGCGATATTCCCTCCAGTTAACATACAATCACCTCCTGGAATGTGCAAGAAAGCCAAGAAAAAGCACGTTAAAATGAACCTACTAATTCTCTTCAAAATCCTTGCTTTCAAACGTACATTTATTTACACACCACACAAATGCTAATATTTGTGTTTGGTTTTTCCTCTATGCACATTATCCTTTCCATTCAGATACTGAAAACTGCTCAAATTAACAAGTCAGAGAAACGTGAATGTCCTGTGTCCTATGTACAATTGTGAATTTTAGAGGTTCATGCCATTGCGCCCAATACTGTCTTGCAAAGTACATCAGAGCCTGTACTGAAGCCCTTCGGCCTGGGTTCGGGTCCCAGCTCTGCCACTGGCTAGCCTCAGGCAAGTCCTTTAGTGTTTCTGTGCCTCAGCGTCCTGACCCGGGAAGTGGAGATGATGGTGTCAGGACGATCTCACAGGGCCGGATGTGAGGATGGCGTGGACTGATCTCAAGGGCGCGGACCGGCCCGGTGCGCAGTCACGCCGCGTCAGCGTGGAGGCCCAGCCCCCGCTGCGAGCAATGGTGGCACGCAGGTCTTTGTCTGTCTTCAGAGACCACGGTAGTTATTGATATTAACAAGCATGTGGCTAGAAAAACCGTTCTTTTCCCCAAATTTTAATGACACAAGAAGCATCCAAACTAGACTCTCCAGGCTATACACTTCTATCTCTTTAGACTCTTTCTGATTATTCTTCCTCTCGACTCAGTTTTCTGAATCCGCCATCTTGCAAATGATTCGCTTCACTTCCATTCTGTCATCTCTGTAGCTCCGATTCTGATTTTGTCTTATCTGGTCTGGAAGCTTCTTAACTGACCCACTCACTTCCATTCCTGCAGCAGTCCAGACCATGAGTGTCTCCCCGCTGTTCTGCGTGTGTTCTAGACCCCGCCGACACTCCCGCCTGGCATTCCCGCCTTCGCCACCGTTGCCGACGTTTCCCCGTCGAATCAGGTGCCTTGTCCATCTATCCTTTCCTTCAGTCGGTGCTGACTGGGGATTCGGAAGCTAGACTCTGCCCTCCAGAAGACTGCTGCGGAGCGGGGAGATAGAAGTCACTAAATCCTAGGATTAAAATCGCTGAATTCATTTGCGACCAAATCGCAGCAGCAGCGAATCTTGCCTGAAGGCGGGAGAGGGGTCGCGGAGTCCACACGGAGGGTGAGGACAGGGCAGGATGGCGCAGGGGAGAGCTTTCCTTTACAGCTGTATTGAGGTGCGCTGGAGGTATAGCAAACTGCACATCCCAAAGTGTAAAATCTGGTAAGTGTCGACCCTGTGAAACCATCACACGCTCGAGAGAAAGAGCACACTCGTCGCCTCCAGTGTCTGCTCCGGCCCCTTTGCGACCTCCTCCTCCCGCACCCCGTCCCAGGCAACACCGGAGCTGCTTTCTGTCACGTGGGTGAGTTTACATTTTCTAACATTTTACACTAAAACACCATTCATTATACACTTTTTTTCTTTGGTCTGGCTTCTTTCAGCATAACTATTTTAAGACTCACCCGTGTCGTAGTGTGCGCGGGTAGTGTGTCCCCTCTCGCTGCCGAGCAGCCGTCGTCGTGCGGATGCAGCACATTGGTCCATCCGTTCGCCTGCCGATGGGCATTCGGACTGTCCCCGGCAGTCGGCAATTACAGACAAGGCTTCTGGGAACATTCCTACGCGAGTCTTTATGGAAATACATTCTCATTTCTCTTGGGTAAATACTTAATGAAACGTCTGGGCCACACGGTAGCTGTGTGTTTTGCTGTTACGAAACCGCGTATTTCCAAAATGATTGTACCATTTGATGTTGCCTTCAGCTACGCGTGGAAGTTCCAGGTGTCCCACGCAGGAGGGTTTTCTTTGATGAGGCAGCAGCATGAGGGTGAACCTCAAGCCATCCCAGCGGCAGAAGCAACTGGGCAAGTCAAGAGAGGGGGTGGGCGACAAGGCAGAAATTTAGTCTTAGAGCAGCTGACAGAGGGCTTTGGTGTTCGGAACGTAGTAATAGACTCCACGCGATGGAAACTCACGGAAGGCTCTGTCTGCCTCTGTCTCTGGACATCCCGTTCGCTTTCCCATCCTCACTCTCTTCTCTCCCTCGTGCTATTTCCTTCCTTAGAACACACCCGTCTACTGTCTCGGTAATGTCTAGGAGCAGTTGAAGGCCCAACTGAAATGGTACCTTGTCTTCAAGTTGACCCGTCAACCCTGAGTTCCCTTAACCACCCCTTTGATGGTCACCCGTGGCCCCAAGCCACCCATGGCCCGAGTCACCAGTTCCAGGTGAGTTCTCCGTCCTGTGAGGTCTCTGATGGACAAGAGAGTGTGACTCGTTCATGCAACATTGCCCACAAGATCAACCAATCCCTACGGAAGCTACATCTCTAGACATTTTTCTTTTGGTATTATTTTTGAGGAAAGTCCAAACTAATGTAACTTTTAAAGTCAACAGAGGTATAAATCTCATTGCTCATTTTGCCAGAACCAAAGTGAGAAGATGTGGACTGAGGCCAAGGAGGAGGAACAATGACTTCGCCTCTCTGCCAGCTCCCATCGGCGTAACCATCTCGTCCTCTACCTTTTTGCTCTTTTATGCTCACCAGGTCTCCCCCGCTCAAGTATGGAAAATTATGTGATTAGTGAAAGAGCAACAATTTTGCAGAGAAAATGGTTATGTGTTTATGGACGTTCAGTAGCTCAAAATGTCTAAGGAAATCATTTACTGGGGCTGGAGAAAGCAGACCTGGGCCCTGGCCAGTTCTTGGCAGAACGAGGGAGAGCTGAGAAGTACTCACCGTAAAGAAGACCATTCTGAGGCACTGCCTGGGTGCCAGGAGCCACCGCTGGGCCTCGGTGCCTGTCTCTCCTCTGTGTTGACACAGAGCTAAAAAATAAGCAGCAACAGCAGAGAGTGCCCAGGAAACAGTATGCATGTGGCTCACACAGTCTCATCAATGATCTTTGCTCGATTTACATCTCTGCTCTTTCCCCAGTTTTCCACAAGACATTCAAGTCATTAGAGAACATTGACGCTAATTATTAGTCTCTGAAAACCGATCCTGATGCCCGGGGGTTTAGACTATGCATTTGCCTTCCGTTGTTTCAGCAACTCGACTGGAGCGCAGTGAAGTGTGTGTGCTTCATTTTGGAACACGCAGTTTGGTTGCTGTAATGTCAGGGTGCTTCACTTTCTCTGTGCCCACCCAGACTGGCAGGTGCTTCCAAATTCTAGCTTCGGTTCAAGAGGACATTCTTTCCAGAGAATACCATCTTGCTTTAGTGTACGTATTGGTCAAAGGAAGAACAGATTTAGAGATCTACAGTTAGGCCAAGGACTTGGCTACTTTATTTTTTAAAAATTCTATGGCTTTGACATGAAATCAATACCAGGAGAATACCAGAGGCCACTGCTAAAATTCACATTTCATAATATGTTTTCTACTGTTTGAAAGTACACCAGGCGGTGGCAGAATTTCCTCTGGGGCCTTCCCCGGACACCTTACTTGGGCTGTTGCTTGGCCACCCTGTTGTGTTTATCACCAGTATCTCTGATCAGGGCCACAGAAGGAGGGGAGGGAAGCAAGACAGCCTGAAACAGGCCCTCCTTCAGAACAGACAGAAGGAAGGGAGTTTGTGCATTTAGCTGGGGGCAGGCAAAGGGTTCTAGGCGAGACACTTCTTCACTATCCTGAAGCCGCATAAGCATTCGATGTAGGATCCCATCTGTTTTGTGAAATTGACAATTTGCTTCAGCAGGAAATAAAGGTTCAAACTGAGTTTCATACTAGCTACACAGTGAGAAATAGCTTCACTTTTTAAAGACTTTGCTTTTTAAGACATTCAGCATGTAACCTAATTTCATTTGGTGGAGTTTGTTTTTTCCTTCTCCATTTGCTGCCTAGAAATGTGTTTCATTATCTCCTGCAGGACTGGGGTTGGGAGGGAGCTGGGGAGTCTGAGTTCCCTGGGCCTCAAAAGCACGAAAAAATAAAACAAAACAGTATTAAATAAAATTAAAATATATCGTACAAGCAGCCATCCAGTGGATTTTCTGTCCCAAACACTTCACACTACACAGCTGTGCTACTGAGGGGCACTGGCTGGACCCCTCCATTTCCACTGCAGAAGCACGTGGAGACCAAACTCAAGAGGGCAAATGATAACGTGTTAGCACAGACCCAGACACGGGTAGATTTTGCTCGAAGGAAAGTGGTTTTCACTTGAGGGAAAAGTTTTTTAATCTACTAGGCCCCTTTTAGGCTGCAACATGCCAGCATGTTGTGTTAGATGTTTAAAACTCGAACCTTCCAAAGTGTTATAACATCAAGGTAGGACTTTATCTTTAAAAAGTAATCATAATGGAATACGATTTTCTGGAATAAAAAGCACGAATTTAGAAAGATCTTTTTGAATATTGATATGAGAAGAAAATAAACACAGCAGTTTTAGAACATCATCCTTTTAATGTAGAAAGAGTGAGCGAGCTGTTATCAGGGAGACGAGACGATCACACGTCATCGAGTCCCGGCAGCCCAGGCTGTGTGTGGGGCTCCTGGTGCCCCCGCAGATGGGAGGGACCTATTTGATGTCACACAGCAGGGCCACTCCCCTCAGGATCCAGTGGTCTGGGGACAACACTGTTCGCAAATAAACCACCGTGATGAAAGTCAGATCGGTGCGCCTGGGCTTCTTGTAAACGGGGCACACGTACAGCTTGGGGTCCTTGGGCGCCGTGGAGTTGATGGCGAAGATGTGCAGCACAGGGATCTGCGTGAAGAGCACCTTGGGCGTGGACTCGGTGAGCTTCCCGTTCCGCCGGTCCCAGGCCGCCCCGTCCATGTAGAGCCCGTAGATGTACACGCCTTCCTGGAAGAGCCAAGCGGAAGGTAAGAGGATTTTCAAAACAAACTGGGTGCTGGGAGATAGGTAACAAGTTAGTGTCACAAAGCTCGTCGGTTTGGAAAGAAAGCGTGCAACGGTCTCGAAACGCCACCAGATGAGGAAGACGCACCCGGCACGTGGCGTTAATGGAACAGCGAGCCCGCGGCCCCTGCAGTGTCCCAGGCTGTGAGCACAGGACGCACGTGCCGCTACCGGCTGTTCCAGTGTGGGGGGCTGCCCGGGCGGTGGACTCAGCCGGCACCACCCAGTCCCCTGCAGGGCGCTGAGAGTCCCCCAGAGGTCTGGTTCGAGTTGCTGTAAGGTGGGGGCGTGGAACGGGATTTGGAGCTGGTGACACGTGGGACCTCGGCCTGCCCTGGCCAAGCCCACCCAGGCTCAACCTCATCTCTGTCGGGGCGAAGTGAGATTGGCCGCAGCCAGGCCCGGCTGGCAGGAGCGCCAGAGCCCCCCGAGGACGGGCGAGGTAGGTGGCGCGAGGGCGCGTGGCAGGGGCGGGCGGGGTGCAGCGCTGTTCAGCAGCATCTGACCGCCCTCCCCGGCGTCGCTCTCACACGGGTGCCCCCCATGAAACTGGGGACACAAGGCGCACGCGGGCGCAGGACAACGTTCACAAAGACGTGAATTGAACAGCATCACACACCTGCTCCAGGGCCTGCCTGACCAACAGCTCTGAGGGGGAGGCAGTGACGTCTGAGGTCAAAGGTCCCTGCAGGCTCAGGGGCCTTCGTGCAGGCGCGGCCTTGACAGAGGCCTGGAAGGCTGGGCTGCACGGGGAAGACGGGGCGAGGGGCAGGCACCCAGGCAGGGGCAGGGTGAGTGGAAGAGGCCGAGCATTTCACGTAGCGATGGTTCCACGGTTATGAAATGAGTTAGGGCCTGACTACGGAAGAGTCTGGATGCCAAGCTGAAGAGTCTGAACTGTGTCCTGCAGGCGGTGGGGAGCCACATAGCACGTGTTCACTGAGCAAAGAAGGCCCGAGGGGAGCTCACGGGGGAGCCAGCCCATCAAACGCATTCGCGCTTCCACGTCCAGTGAGGGCAGGGGAGGGGGAAGGAAAGGAAGATTATAATAAAAGACAGCGTGATAGTTGCAAAGTGTTTTCTGGCCCCTCAAATGGGCTAACAGTATGAGGATCACAGGGTTTTTTGTTTTTGTGTTTGTTTTTTTTTTGAGACACTGTCTCAGTCTGTCACCCAGGCTGCAGTGCAGTGGCGTCATCATAGCTCACTGCAGCCTCCAACTCCTGGGCTCTAGTGATCCTCCTGCCTCAGCCTCCCATGTAGCCAGAACTACAAGCGTGTACCACCACACCGGGCTAATTTTTTAAATTTTTTGTAGAGACAAGGTCTTGCTATGTTGCCCAGGCAGGTCTTGAGCTCCCGGGCTCAAATGATCCTCCCACCTCGGCCTCCCAAAGTGTGGGGATTACAGGTGTGAGCCCCCACAGCAGCCCGAGAACTGTCTTTTTTGAACCAAAAACTGAACCAAAAACCAAAAGGTTTGGTTTGACGGTGGTTTGACGGTAAAACCATGAGCAGTTAATGGTGGTGACTAGTTAACTGCATAAACGACGTGACCACTTAAAAGCCTTCATGCAATAACTTGTGTCCCTCTCTAGGGTACTTTCAGTCCCAGAATTAAAAAGTCATTGTTGGTACGTGTGATAGATAGAACAGTGTCACCCAAAAATTCATGTCACCCAGAACCTCAGAATGTGACCATTTGGAAATAAGGACTTTGCAGATGTAATTAGTCTAAATAAGGACACACTGAATTAAGGGAGGCCCTAAATCCACGGGACTGGTGTTCTCGTGAGAAGAGGAGAGGACGCACAGAGAGGTAGGTGGGGAAGGACGGGAACACGGAGGCGGAGATCGGACGGTGCACCCACAGCCAGAGGCTGCCGAGGACCGTGGGCACCCACCGGAAGCTGGGAGGGAACAAGAGTGCTCCTCAGAGCCTCGGGAAGAAGCCGGCTCTACCTTGATTTTCACTCTGGCCTCCTAAACAGAAAATGCATTTCTGTTGTTTTTAGCCACGGGGTTTTTGGCACTTTGTTATGACAGCCTTAGGGAATGGATACAGATTTTGATACCGGGAAGCAGGATGCTGCTCTAACAAATAAAAGAGAGGAAGTGATTTGGGAACTGCATAATAGGTGGAGGCTGGGAGAAGCACGAAATCGCCTCGCAGAGATCGTCCCTGGGAAGACAGAGCTTACGGTGCTTCTGGTGAGGCCCCAGGCTGCAGGGAAGGTGTGTCCCTAGAAGCTGGAGGAAGGGCAACCCTTGTTACAAAGCAGCAGAAAGCTTTTGGCCAGAAATTGGAAATCATCTGGTCCAGCCCCTTATTTGACAAATGGGGGAATGAAAATCAGAAAAGGGGAAAAAGGGACCAAGCCTTATTGAGAGTCTGTACAGGGTCCTGCACGAAGCCTAAACGACCACGTTTAAATTCTCACCACTGCCTATAAGGAGGGCGAATTACCTTGCTCACCTTACAAATGAAGTTAAGACTCAAAAAAAGTTAAAAAAAACCTTCCCAAGTTCATCGGGCGGATCAGTGTCCAGGCAGTGGCTGTCCCCGCAGCCAGGCGTCTTTCCACCCAGGCGCTGGAGCTAGTGGGGACGCGGCGGGCCCCAGAGTCCGGCCCGCTGGGCCAGCGCTGGGTCTCTACCGCCCGCAGCGCGGCTCTGCTGCCCACAGTCCGTCTGCGAGTAGCCCCGAGCAGCAGCGAAGATGCATGGAAAATCCTTTGTAGCAAACACAAGCATAACTTGTGATTATAGAGAAAGGCATCTGGGGATCCCCAGAACTCACTAGACCCTGTCATTAACCTTCCGCTCCGGCAGAGGGAGCGGGCTTGCGCGTTGCAGCCTCCTGGTTACGGAGGAAACGCTCGCTGCACAGCGAAGGGACTCAACCGAGGCACTCGTAGCTCAGTTTTAAGCAGAACTTGAGCTTCCAGCCCGGGCTCCACAACTGCCCTTGCTATTGTCCAACGGTGCCTACCGCGGGGGGTGACGTGATCTCCTCCTTGGTCTGTCTCAGAACGTCGTTGTGGATGGTCACCGTGTCTAGCGCCCAGCCTTTGTGGGCACGGGTCACTTCTTGCCTCATTGCTGTGAGGAAGCCTTAAAAAAAGAAAAGGAAAGAAAAGACTTTGATGCCCTGGTGCAGCCCACTTCGGAAACAAGGAGAAAGCGAGGTTATGTGTTACTTGCTTGTCTGTTTCCAAACCTCGTGTCCATCCCGAGAGGAGCTGAGACCAGTCCCCAAGGGGACATGTCTTTCTGCACTGTGTTTCTGGGGGACCTGCGACGAGCTAATCTTTCCCACCCGCCGACCGCGGGGAAGCAGCACCCTGTCTGTGTCAGATGGGCTTTGGTTCAAAATGCTCCCGGGATTTCAGCTGCTCGAGCCCTAAAAGACTGTAACCCAGACTTAGCTCGTACTCTCTATTTGAAAACACAGTATCAAGGAATGAGACTGCAATGGCGAACTGTTCTGAGAACAGCATTCCAATTAAACCTGAATCAAACCATTATCAAGCTTCTATTTGCTATAATGGAACAATTTCATTTAGTCTAAGGACATGAGGCATGATGCCAAAATAGAAAACCTGACTTTCAATTTGATCAAACAAAGCAATCACACTGGAAAGGAAAGCTACATGTTTTAATGTACATCATACAGTTATTTAAGACAATACGTGCTTCCACATACTGTGGCCTTTCTTTAAACTTAGTATTTGCAAACCATGCTGTTCGATTCAGTAAGAGAAATCTTTTTTGGCAAGTAGCATCCCATGTTAGAAAACAGTACCCTAGACTTCAAAATGGACTTCAAAACCTTAAGCAAACTTACCTGTGACCTGTATGTTATATTTCGGCCTCCATGTAAATATGGACAATCGAGAGGCTCTCTAGGAAGTAAAATTGTGGAATGTGCATGTCCCTGCTGCTCCTGGATTAGGGAGCTCTGAGAAGCAAACCAACACGTAAGTGGTAACATTTTATCAGGTATAAATGGGAGTAGGAGGAGGGGGTATTAATAGCTACAAAGCATAATGACAAGCAGCGAGCTAAGATCCCTCGGAGTTGGGAATAAACAACAGGCCCCTAGTCCGGCTTTGCTGAGAGAGTCGAGTTCTCCCCGTTGGTAAATGCGACACTTGCGGAGGCACTCGTGTGGTCGTTCTCTCATTCATTTGTCCAGTCTCCCTGAAGTGGCCACCGTGTGGCAGGCGCTGCTCTAGGTGGGATGACCACAAAGACGAAGAGGCCGTCCATGGACCCCACATCCAAGGAGCTCAGTCTAGAGGCAGGACGTTGGCACGGTGTCTTTATGGACAAAGGCATGAACAAAGCTAACCACTCGGGAAGACAGCTTAGGGAAGGTGTAACGGAGAAGATGGAGTTGGAGGTGACTCTTGAAAGACACATAGGAGTTTGCCGGATGGGACAAGTCCAGTTAGAGGAACGGCGTGTGCAAAGGTATGGGTGGGCTGGGGTGGCAGGTGAGGGTAGAACAAAGGTAGAGGTGTGATTTTTTTCAGGGTCAGAGTTTGGACTTGATTCTGTAGATGGTGGGAAGCCACTGAATATTTTAAGTAAGAAAATGATTTGGTTGTATTTGCATCTTAGAAAGCTTACTCAGAGCACCCACTAAAATAGGATTTGGGGTGCTAAAGAAAGGCCCTTGCATTAATCCAAAAGAAACGTTGATCAATTAACCAGAGTAGCTGAGGGAAGGACTTTTATAGGAGATTCTTATACAGCTATAGTTTCATGAAAATGAGAGTGTCTAACAGGAAAGGATGGTTTTGTGACTATGGAGGGCAGGAAACAAGGAGGAAGTCTGCCTGGCAGCGAGTGCTGGTGGGTGCTTGTACTCTATGTGAAGTCGTGTGCGGTGGTTTGATCAGCATGTGACTGTCACCACTTCCATTTCAAACACTGGGGATCCCACGCGTTAGTAGTAAACATTTTGTGTGTTTGCCGGTCGGTGGTACATACGAGCACAACAATAAAACCCGATCCTCCTTCTAAGTCACTCCATGAAAATGTCATTTTCATCATTCAACCTTAAGCGTGCATGCATGTGGTGAATTAGACACTGGATACCCAAGCAGAGGACTTGGAATTAAATTGACCCCATTTTGTGATCTTTTAAAATTCATCACCAAAGGTCGGAATGTATAAGGCACGAATCCTGGTCTTAACCATCCATCTGCACAAATTGAATAATTGACTTTTTCTGTAACATTTTAAGTTCCAACTAACTGGAAATTTGACCTCACTCCATGTGGCTCTGAGGACAGCGTCACAGGTGCCAGGTGAGGAATGAGCTGGATTCTCTCTTATGTAGCAAACTGCTTCAGAGACGTCAGTCATCTTTAGAAGCTCTGAAAAACTCGAGTCCAATTAAGGTGAGACTATTTCCTTTCTTCTCCCTACTAGGAAGTACGTACATGACGTTGTCTAGCTGACTTCAACCGCAAGCCTCCTAATGCTTAGGGAGCGCTCTTGGTGTGCCTCTGGGTGGAGTCTAGAACGCACTTACGTCACCTTGCGCTATTAAGAAAGGAAAACGTTAAATAAATACATTTGAGGCCTGAGAGTGGAGGGGAGGGAGCTATTCCACGGGCCATTGCCACGTTCAGTGAACATGGAGAAGGTACTTGTTTTTTCAAGTCTTGATGGTTTTGTTTTCGAGGGTAGTGAATACAATGAATTATTCCTTATTGAATTTAAAATGAATGACCATCTTTCTGTAGACTGACATCAAGTCTAACAGAATCAAAATCTACTTTTTTTCTGAAGCCTGTATAAAAGGCTATTGATATATTTTTCTTTAAAAGAGCTGTGTTAATCCCTACAATAGTAGTAATCCAACATTTTAGCATACTAATTACTGTTGTTTGATTTGTGCGATCAGTTGGCTTAAGAAAGCTGTATAGTGCTTTCAGTATCATTTTATACAGGTCTTAGAAAAGATGAAAGAAATAACTAATCAGGAAGTTTGCTCTTACCAAGTTTATAAAGAGTTGCTTAGTATTCTGTAATGAAGGTCCTTTACCCAAAATAGGAAACTTTTTTCTTTAATGAATGAACCAGTTCCTCTGTAATGGGCCTTAGGCTGTGCAGTATTTCCTGTCTAATCAATTACTAAGCCTCCCAATAGCATCTTTGGAGATGAGGAGAAATGATGTTCCTGCCACAAGTTTATGACAGGCAGTTTTTTCCCCAAATGAGAAGCAAATTCAGTTCACTGGTAAGTTAAATACAAGGTCAGAAATCATTAAACAAAGATGGGGTTGATCAACCCAGTTGAATAAAAATGCACCAACTGCCTTTCCCGACTCTTTGCTAGACGCTGTAAGGCGGGGATCTCGAACTGCCAAACATTAGAAATACCAGGGAAGCTCCCAAAACTCCCAATTCCCAAGTCACAGCCCAGATCATTACATCACAATCTCTGGAGGAGGGATCAGTATAGTTTTAAGGCAGAGCTTCTCAAACTTCAAAGTCCATAGGAACCACCTGGGGAAGGGAGTTTAATTAAAATGCAGGTTCTGGTTCAGTGGGTTGATCAAGGGTCTGGGATCTGCAGTTCTGTCCAGCTTCCAGAGGGTGTTGTTGCTACCAGCTGGGGGACCACATACTGGGACGCAGAGGTCTAAGGTCAAGGTTCTTCACCCGTTAGAATGCCCAAGGGAGCTTTTAAGAAAATTGACAGTACAGACTCTAGAGGCCCCATTCCCAGAGATTCTGATACAATTGTCCTGGGACCCCAGGCCTCAGTGTGCGTTAAAAGCTCCCCAGTGATTTTACTGTGTGGGCACGTCTGGGAACCGCCGCTCTGTAAAAAGCTGCGCAAGACAGGTCATTGACAGTCAGCGCCCATGTTTGTTTTAAGAGCAAGTTTGACACATGGGAAGGGAAAGGCTCATAGCAGGAGCACGATGCCAGGAAGGCTGTCAGTGGGATGCACCGACCCCTTCCCGGGCCTCCTGGGCTGCACGTGTTCTCCGAAATGCCATTAATCAGGACATGGTTGGCTCCAGCAAAACTTGAGTATAAATAGGAGACTAATTCTGTTGTCGAGGCTGGGATTAGCTAGATCCACCGTGTCCCGTGTTCCAAAATGTAATTCCCCGCCCTGATCTACCTCTTCCCTGGGCTAGTTTATGCTTCCTCCCCGTGAACCCCCCTCCCGCGTCTCCCCTCTCCCCCACACTCTCCGTCGCTCCCTCTGGCGTGGTTCTGTGGTTGACGAACTCCCACATTCTCCGCCTCTTCACGGAGCATTCTCCCCACCGCCCGCCTGCCCGGAACCCGGCTCGGCCCTGAGGACCTTGCCCGTCCCAGTCCCTCTGCCCTTGGTGAGAATCTCTGCCACGCTGACCACCACAGCCTCTGGCCACGTGTCCCTCCCCTCTTTGTCCTTGCATCTGCCCATCTGCCCACCTTTGCCGAGCACCCGGCAACGCCGGGTCTCTTGTATCCCCTGCAGCAAACCGACCTCAGTTCCTTGACCTTCTCCTCAACTCCGCCCCTCTTCTCCACTCCCCTCCCTGTTTAGTCTGGATCCATCCTTCTCGCCACTTGCCTGGCAAGACCCCGATCATAGCAGAATACAGATGTCCCCTTTCTCGAACTTCTCCCATTCTCCTTAAATCCCTCCTCCAACACCTTCTTGCTCTCAGGATTTTTGTCTCTCCTTCAGTCAGAATGTAGGAAGCGTTAGATGGGAATTCCCTTAACTTCTTGCCACCGAGCCTACGCTCTGCTCACCCGCTATGGACACCTGTGCTCGTTCCTCCCTTTCATCTCGTTGCGGGGCGCCGTGTCCCTCCGCGTGCCGGGAGCGCAGCTCTCCACCTGTGGGTGCCGTGTCACCCCCTGCCTCTTTCTCCCCTCTCCGGTATCACCGGCTTCTCCCTGTCTCTCCTGGCTCCTTCCCACCAGCATCTGAACAGGCTCGAGCCTCTCCCACTGTTAAAAAAGAAAGAAACCCTTTCTTCTTATTCCTACTCCTTCAACTCGCTTCTCCTCTTCTACGCCAAATGTCTTGAGAGGATTATCCATGTTGTCCTCACACTCACTCGGAAATCAGACTCCTCCACCTC